TCCCGATAACAATTCTCGTAATGCACCCCCTGTTCGGAACACCCGGATTTGCGCTGTCAGTTGGTTTTTTGCTTAGACAGTGTGTTGAGCAGACGTCAACAAACAAACTGTTAACAAACCAGGGAGAGGAAATACTTAATTTTCTAGCGTTTAGAATACTTGAATTGGATGACCTCATTGATAAGGAAAATGCACTGAATATCATCTTGGATGACCTCATTGATAAGGAAAATGCACTGAATATCATCTTGTAATAATCTGTTTCAGTTGACATTGTTGATTAAATTATCTAATTGTTTTTCCTGTTGACTTGATTTTTTGTTACTTAAACATATGATAAAAAGTTTATAATTTGACCATTTTGATATCATATCCCTTATCAGCCCTCGGGCTGATATCGGGACTCTCGGGCTGATAAGGAATATGATATCAAAATGGTCATATAATAACCTCTAGTTATTACATGTACTGATAGGTTAATATAGCTAGGTTTATATTACATTAGGATAGAAATTAGATATTTTAGGAATTATATTTTTTTTTATATAAACTGTTATATATTTGTAGTCATTTGAATTTTGTACGGGACAGATACACGTGTCTACGTGTAGCAACGTTACATAGTATACTGTCATTGTCCATAATTTTGTAATTGTTTAGTTAAATGTTTTGACTTGTTTCTTTATTACACCATAGAAACTTTTCCGTATTTTGTCTCATATTTGAGGATGGCTGCAATTAATTTACGCTCAGCTACAAAGAATGAGCTGTGCACTTTGGAGGGTTTAGGCCCTGCGATGGCGCAGAAAATCATTGAGATGTCCAATTCGAGGGTAAGCATTGAAAAGTGGCAGAGATGGCTATGTGATGGGGGTTATCACGAGTTGGTGGTTACATTGGAGACCGAAGCTCTTAAACAATCAGAAGAGAGCATGGCAGCTTGTGCTGCCTCCCCTCAAAAGAAGACCTCTAATCCAGCCACTATGCTACTGACTACACCTAAGGGTGGTCAGTATGTCAGTAGCCAAGGGCAACAAACAAATAGCTGGTCACTATGGGAGGATAGAGGTGCATCTCAGTCTACCCCCATGCTACATGAGGGTATACAATATACTGACCCTCGGGCAATGGTTCCTAAACAGAAAAAGTCATGTTTTGACCCTAACCTACAGGCTATCCCGAAGGATGGGAGGTATGTAAGGGGTCAAGGTCAGGGGCCCCATATGACAACATGGACTACTTGAGGTACCAGTGCACCCATTGCAACTATTGCTTCTAAGTGGGGGTTTAAATTAGAATCTGCCCCACGTGTTGAGGAGGAAATGAATCTGCCCTTGGGTAACAGCATGCCATGCCTATCATCGCCCAATGAAAAGGAGGCTGACTTCCCAAGCAGGGAGGGGGGGGGGGGGTCATCCTCGGGGATCTGACCCTTCGCAACTATCTTTCCAACATGGGGAAGATAACTTGATTACCCCCAGACCATAGGCTGCCATACCAATGGCGGGGGATGAAACACTTTTCTCTATTGGGGTACATATACACTCAGTTAGGGCAAAAGCTGGTTTAATTAGAACACCATACTACTCCTGCTTATGGTCTGCCTTCGGCCGTTGCCGGTGCTCGCGCAAAAGAGCCCTTGACAAGTTCATTAGTTCGTGGAGTAGCTACAACAGCGCGTGCTACCCGCGATGAAGGAAGAAATAGACGGACTGGCGACCTGTCAGACAACGAACGTCCTGCACGGCGCACGCATCGCAACCCCGGTGAACGACATACGCGCCAATCACAGGGAGCGCCGTGCCCCTGCAAGGCGTAAACGTAATGATTCGTCAGAGTGACAAATCTGAGCCGACTTCTCAAGTGAGGAAGAGGGGGAAAGAGATACGTATTCAGATGACTCCTCTGATGACGACCAGATGGATATTAGAAGGAAATCCCATATGAAATAGAGGAAAACTTCAACAACCTTGGGAAGGGAACCGCCCATCAGATTATCGGGCTCGGGCTCAGTACCCTCGTCCACCCCAGGACAACGGGCGTAAAAGGTATGACGGTCGACGCCGAGATAGGGCATACTCAGAACAAGGTCCCCCGCGAAACCGTAACTGGTCACCCGGCTATCATGGGGAGTCACCTGGCACATGGTCACCAGGTCGAGGTCAAGGTTAACCAAGGCGGGGTCCCTGGGAACCGGGGAAAGGCAACAACAGTGCCGCAAGTTGGGGTAACGACAGAGGACGGAATAACCATATGGATTGGGCTAAACCCAATGGGGGTATGTCCATGATTCAACCCACACAACATCCTAAATGAGTCATGATCACCGCCAGTTTCGGGTTCCTCCCAGTGCCCAACAACCCATAATGAGAGTAATGAATGACACTGTCAAGTTCTACATAATGACAGAAGGACAGGGAGTTAAACAATATGTAGAGGTGATATCCCATTTCCATAGAGAAGCCCGGAGCTGTTATACCACAGACATGGTTCCTGGGAAAAGCCAGAGTCCCTACGGGGACAACAGGGTTACCGAGCCAATAGAGGCCATCCCTCAACTTCCAAGGGAAGCTCCTGTCTATAATGAAATGGATGAACTTCCAAGGGAGGGCCAGAGGCCAGTGAGGGTCTCGGAAGAGCCACTGAACAGCCACCATGCAGGAGCTAACTGTGAGTGGTTTTAGGAGGACGCGGTCAGTATGGTACCACTGACATACAAGGCACATACTCTGGTCCGCAACAAAATACGCATATACATGCACCACTAACAGTGGGGCTCAAAATTGAAGGACATGAGTAGTTCACACCAGAATCTGCATCATTTCCATTTGACGGGGAAAAGGTAACGGAAACTTATGTTCCCTCCATCATCAAATGTTTCAAACTAAATGTGACGTCACACATACCGACATCACATTTAGGACTTCCGGTTGCGCACGTAGAAATGGTGGATTGAAAGAAAATTCTCGGCAACGACTCTCATCAGAAAAGTAGTTTAACTACATATAATATAATTGATCGAACGTCAAGGTTTGGTGAGAATGTAGAGAATACATATATAAAGAGATACATCAAGTCTTTTTGAGGTGTGATCTTCAAGGAAATAAAGATGACGACGTGATAAGGTGTAGGGGACCATTGTTTACCTTTCTAGCACCGTGTCGCGGGAGACTAGTCAGGTGCATATTACGGTCTGGACTTGGTAAATTACCAAAAATCAACAACTTTATATATCCGAGACACAGTAGAACCTACTAAATGAGTCTATCCAGGCTCTCGAAATATCTGGACAAAACCGAAGAAGACGTCGAAAGACTGTTAAAAAATAGTCAGTTTTCCCGCCATCTTGTGTTTGTGTCGGACAGCAAATGGAGGCAACTACGTGACCAACAAAAGGGACACGGTGTCCCAGAAATTCACTGGAACATCAAACCAGGAAAAGGTACCAGTTACCTTGTAAATTTCATCTTCGAAAATGTAGACCTGCTTGTAAAAACACACGGTGCTATTCTACTCGCGATCTGGTCCGGGACATGCGATTTAACACGCAAGGTAAGTGGCAAATACATTGACCTAAACCATTCCATCTTGCCTGAGGATATCACAAACCAATACAAAAGGCTACAGTCATTACAAGTGCGATATGGAGACAAAATAAGGATTGTCATTCT